GGACATCAGCAATGATATCCCTCATTCCACGGCCTCTTCTGAATCTGGCTTGAACCTCTGGAAGTTCTCTGTCGATGTATGCTTGCAGCCGTTTCTTTATTACTTTTAGTAAACCTTTACTCGCATGGAATATCGAAGAGATTGTCCAATGATTTCCACATTCTGTTGGGTCACCTCTCTTTGGAATGGGCACAAATACGGATCTCTTCCAATCAGTCGGCCAGATAGTTGGCTTCCAAATTTCTTGGCAGAGATGAGTGAGTGCCTCCTGTGCCATACTTTCTTGAAAGATTTCAATTTTCTTTCCAACAATTAGTTGCTGTTAAGTGCCGTCGAGTTGAACCTGATCCTTAGCAACCCTGTATAGGGTTTCCAAGGAGCAACTGGTGAGCTTGAACTGCCGACCTTGCAGTTCAAATGACTGATACATTAACCCACCGCGCCATACCAGGACTCCGAGTAGTCCATCAATAGAGTCATTCAGTATTGCACCTCGAGGTTTTAATTTTTCTTCAGGTCTTTCAGTTTGAGAAATGCACATCCCTTTTGGTTTCTAACTACAGTCTTTGCAGATTACATTATAATTTTTACATTACATTTTATTTTGTCTTCTTAAGGTGCTCTTTGAAATTTTCTTGTATTCATTTTAGCTATTTTATGAACTCCTGGTATAGCGCTGTAGGATTAGTACTGGAGTGTGAACCACAAGGTGTCAGCAGTTCAAACCCACCAGCTGCTCCTTGGAAACCCTATACAGGGTCACTATGAGTCAGAACTCACTCTATGGCTTCTGACATCTATTTTTGTGTTTTCGAGTTAAGTATTTTTTAATGACCTTGTGCGTTCTTCATCTGTGATGTTCCTGATGTCATCCCCTAACTCCTCCGGTTTTCTATCATTAGTGTTAAATCTGTTGTTGAGATGGTCTGTAAATTCAGGTAGCATGTCCTCAGAGTTGTATTTTGGCTCGTGTAGATGTGTTTTAATGTTCCTCAGCTTCCACTTACACTTGCATGTGAGCAGTTGCTAGCCGCCATCAGCCCCTGGCCCCATTCTGACTTGATACTGAGCTTTTCCACCTTCTCTTCCCACAGATGTAGTCGATTTGATTCCTGGGGACGTTGGCGATGTCTGAGACCTATTTGGTTGTCACACTGGGGGAGAAGGTGCTCCTGGCATCTTGTGGGTGGAGGCCAGGTTTACTGCTCAGTGTCCTACAGTGCACGGGACAGGCCCCACCAAAAATGATCTAGAACCAAATGTAGATAGTGTCCAAGCTGAGAACCAGTGGTCTAGGTGATTCCGGCCAGCGACTCTGAGGCCAGCTAACTTAGGACCCCCAAGCCTAAATCAGTCATAGGAGACAATGCCTGAGAGTCGCCACCTCTGACAAGACAGATCTGGGTTCTTATCCTGGCTCCTCGGCCTGGTAGTGGAGTGACTGTGAGCAAGTCAGCTAAGCCCTCATACCTCAGTTTCTTCATCTGTAAAGTGGGGCTAAAGCTCTCCCTCATAGGGTCAGGGTGAGGATTTGATAAGTGAATGCATTCAGTCCCCCTGGTGGTGGGACTGGGAGGAGGACAGTCACAGCAGAGCTATGGAAAGGCTCAGGTGTCGGGCCACTTGTGAAAGGGTGTGGGATTGGCTGCTGACTTGGATGAGCTGAGGAAGCAGAGCTGAGGCCGACTAGGGTGCTTGGCCAGAGCCCTGCGTCCGTGAAGGCGCGTTCCCCAAGACGGGAGGAAGCACGGGTGGTGGCGCCAGTTTCACGGGGGGCGGGCAGTTGAGACGTAAAGTTTGCGGTGCTTGTTGAAAATCCAATTGGACAATTCTCACGGACAGTTTGAAATCTGAGCCTGAGTATGGAGAAGTGGGAGTGCCAACAAATATTTGGGAATTGCCATGGCACTAGAGGCGGGGGGACCCTCTCAGTGACACTGACAGAGAAGGGGTTTAGGGTTCAAGGGCTGAGCTTCATGGCAGAGGGGAAAAAAACTGCAAAGGACTCTGGGAGGGAGCAGCAACAAGGAAGCGAGGGGCTTAGGAGCTGGGTCTGGTGCTGGGGTGGGGTGGGGTGTGCTGGGGTTCTCGGTGTGCTGCTGGTGTCGGAAGCCAGGACTAGGGACCACTGGTTTGGGTGCCCAGTGGCATGTCTTGGGCATCTTGATGAATGGCTTAGTGTGTGGCCTGAGACCTCCAGCCTGTCTCAGCATGAGAGCCAGGCTGCCCGGGTGCCTGGAGCCAAGTTGAGCCTGAGTAAACTTACCTCCTTCTCTCCTCTCTTTCAGCAAATGGAAAGGATCCTGAAGAAAGCATCTAAAACCCACAAGCAGAGAGTGGAGGTCAGTCAGGGTCCCAGTAGTCACAGTAGGTGGAAGACCACTGAGTGTTGGCAGGGAGGGGGTTCATAGGAAAATTCACGTCTCTTTCCATTTCATTTTTCCATGTACTTAGTGAAGTACTTATTGAAGTATGTTTCTAGGCAGTGGGGGACTAGGAAGCAGGGTCTGACACTCTATTTCCAATAGTCTGCGTGTGTCAGCCCTGGGACTCACAAAAGTCGGATTTGCAACCATTCATGAAGATGGCGCAGAAGCCGGCAACGTTACGCTCTATGTGGACGGGAGCTGACTCACAGAAGCTAACTACAGCAACAACACATACAGATCTGTGTTGTTGTTGTGAAGTGCTGTTGAGTCAGTTCCGACTCACTGCCACCCTTTCACTCAACAATAACAACTATATATATGTTATTGGTGTTAAGTACTGTTCCGTTGGTTCTGATTCATAGCTACCCTGTATAGGGTTTCCAAGGAGCAGCTGTTGGGTTTGAACTGCTAACCTTGTGGTTAGCAGTCCAGTACTTAATCCTACATATATGTACATATATATGGAGTCCTGGTGTGGCACTACACAATAACAACTATATATATGTTGTTTTTGTTAAGTGTTGTCGAGTCGGTTCTGACTCATAGGCACCCTGTATAGGGTTTCCAAGAGCAGCTGGTAGGTTTGAACTGCCAACCTTGTGGCTACCAGCTCAGTGCTTACCCCACAGTGCCACACCAGGACATACATACACACACACTCTCTCTCTCTCTTTCTATATATATATACATATACATATATATACACACATACATACATACACACACAAACACACACACGTAGGATGATAAGCCCTGGACTGCTAACCTTAAGGTCAGCGGTTCAAACCTACCAGCTGCTTCATGGAAACCTATACCAGATGGCTGTGAGTCAGGCCCACCTTGACAGCCCTTAACAACAACAACACATGTATAGTTGTTATTGTTGAATGCCGTCAGGTAGGTCGTGAACTCACAAACACATAATATGTGGGCTTCAAAAACCTTATGGAAAAAAATGATTAAAAGACAAGTGAAGTTTTCCATGAACTTTTTGAAACCATCTCATATGTTGTTGTAAGTGCCATCAAGTCAGTTCTGACTCATAGCAACCCTCTATAGGGTTCCCAGGGAACAACTGGTGGGTTTGAACCACCAACCTTATGGTTAGCAGTCTGGTGCTTATCCCATAACACCACACCAGGACTCATATAAAGAGAGATTTATTTTGAGGAATTGGCATAGGAGACTTTTGGGGGAGGAAGGGGGTTGGCAAATTCTAAATTCCTATGTCAGGAGCCAGGCTGAGAGGCCTGCAGTCTTGTGTCCCTGAATTGGTAGGTTGGGAAGAGGGAGATTCTGGTTGAAGATTTTATTATTTGTAGTCTGGAGGCAGAATTCTCCTTTAGGAAAGTTCTAGTTTTGTCTTTAGGGCCTTCAGCTGCTTAGATGAGGCCATCCCTCATTGTGGAGGGTGATCTGCTTAAGGCCAGCTGCTCAAAGACTTGCTAGCTGCCACTGAGGCAGCCCCACTCACCGCCCAGCCTCCACTGCTCTGATCCAGTCTCCACTGGCTGATCTGTGCAACTCGATCACCAGACCCTTCCTCCCAGTCCATCTTAGTCTGGAAGCTCTTAGCAACACACGCGTCTCCACAGGCAGTGGATGATGAGTCTGCATGCAGTGTGCTGTCCAGGAATAAAGCCTGGGTCTCCCACCCAGAAGGTGAACCACAGAGTCACCACAGCATCACCAAACATCTGGATACCACCACGTAGGCCACGGGTTCAGGCATCTGTAGGTTGGGTTTACGTGGAGAGAGGCTCCTAGAGAGAGGTTGTGGAAGCTGTGGGTAGGCGCACCTGTGAGGCCTGTGTGGGTCTGTGCTGAAAAGCTTTTCTCCTTGACTTTCCCAGGACTTCAACAGGCACCTGGACACACTCACGGAGCATTACGACATCCCCAAAGTCAGCTGGACCAAGTAGCCTACCACCCTATGGACATGGCAAGGCCGCGAAGAGAAGTGAAACACAAAGTTGGGGTTTATGTCCAGTGCCTTTGGCATTTTCCAGAAACATTCTTTTACCCATGCCTGTGTGTTTTCTATTGCGACAGTGCTTTTTGAAACTGTCTTTCCATTCTGGAACTTGATTAAAGTAAGCTAGCTGTCCTTTCACCCAATTGTGGTGTCTCAGTAGCCCATAGAAGAGAAAGATTTTCAGTGTGGACTGGAAAGCTGTGGAAGTTTATCCAGCAGGAAAGTTGTTCCGGTGTAAGTGCCACATACAAATGCCTAGTTCTCTGAGTTGCATTTAAGCCTCAGAGACAACCAGCCAGCTCTCTTCACCCTGATAAAACTGGCTCCCAAAGGTGGGGCACTAACACTGCAGGTGTGGCCTCTGCCTTCAGATGTGAGCTCTACCCTTCTGAGCTCCCAGTAGTTGGGGCTTCAGTTGTCTCATCCAGGATCTGGAGAAATTACCCCAACTTCTTTGCCTGGTTTGCAGAGGACTGCCATGGGTGGCAAGGATGGGCATCCCTCCTGGTCCTTTTCTGAGCCCATAACTGGCCTGCAGCCCCTTCCCCAGTTTCCCCATTCCAGACATTTCTAATGGGTTGGTCACTGTGGCTCCTGTAGTAGGTATGACTACTTTGTAATGAAAACCAGGCTTGTCTCTCAACCACGATTCCAAACTATCCCTGTAGTGAGTCAGAGTTGGCATATAACCTGGACCTTGTTTGGGTGACAGGCCCAGGGCTGAACCCCAGCAGATAGACATGTGCATGGTCAAATGTAGCACCCCACTACTGGTGCTGGAGAGCTGGGGTCTCAGGGCCCGTGCACTTGGGGAAAGTCTCTGCTGACACAACTTCCAAAAGTACCAAAGCCAGAAGACAAAAAGCAAATAAATATTGGCCTTGAAGCTGTTACATGGGAATATAGAAAGCAACTACCAATTAGTAATTATGAGTCTCTATATCTTAATTAAAAGCTGTTTGATTTCTATTGAGAAGGTTGCCTTTTGAGTTTATTGTACATGGGCTTAAGGTTCCTGGGTGGGTGGTGCCGACAGTTTGTGTTTGATTACAATCCTAAAGGTTGGTGGTTCAAAACCACCAGAAGAAAGCCCTGTCGGTCATCAGAAAAGATTTTGATCAGGTGTGCTGTTGAGTCAAGTCCAAGCCATGACAGCTCTGTTACAGAGTAGGACTCGAAAGGGTTTTCTTGGCTATACTCTATATGGTAGGAGATTACCAGGTCTTTGTCCTATGGGGCTGCTGGGGGCGTTCAGATTGCCAACCTTTTGGTTAGCTGTTGAGTGCTTAACCAAAGGTGCCACCAGCTAGGAAACCCTGTGGAGGTGTTCTACTTTGTTAACACATGAGATTAAACCAGGGATGGGAGAAAGGGAAGTTATTTCTGAGGACACTGAGCCTTATATTAGGGTGATGAAAAAAAATTAGAAACTGTTTGTTTATAAGTTTGATAAACGTAATCAGCATCACTCAGTAGTACGCTGGTAAAAATTGTTGAAATGTTGAATGTGTTAAATTGTAGCATACGTAAAAGGTTAGGTATTCTATCATCTATGTTCAGTGGGGGTGTGGTTTCATGAGATCATTCCAGGGAGACAGAAAACCACGTGTTCACTGGCATTGACACTGACAGGTGACAGACAGTGACTATGGTCAGGCGTGACTACCTGTCACAGTTTGATCTCTTTCCAAGTAACTGCCACCTCGCCCTATCCAATGGAGCTTCCAACACTCTCATCAGACTTCCCCTCCGTAAGGCCTTGGCCCCAGGTGGGGGTTGTATCGCTCACCTAACCTGATCCGGGGGAGGGGAAAGGGGGAGGCGGGAATCACGCATCACACCAGGTTTCCTGGATCCTGGAGGGGGCGGTGGAAAACACACCTCTTACCGGGCTGCTGCGCCTGCGTAACGCCATTCCGCGCCTGCGCAATTCTGGCAGCTCCGCCCAGACCGGACATAACGGTCCGCTCGTGGTTCCCGGACCGGAAGTAGAGGCGGACTGTCGCGGGGCGCGCCCGGCCTTACTCAACTTCAGGTTTAGCGGTGTTGTCGAGGCCGCCGCCGAGGCCTCCTGCCGCCGCCATGTCCGCTAGCGCCGTCTACGTGCTGGACCTGAAAGGCAAGGTACTCAGGTCCCCCCAACTTTCCCGTTGCCAAGCAACTGGCGGCGGCCTCGCCCCTCAGGAAACCACCCTGTTGCTAGGTAGCCGGTGTGGGCCCCACTCGGGTGTGAGACCGGGAGGTCCCCAAGGCCGCACCTAAGGACTCCTCCCTATTGCTAGGGAACCGGGCGGGGTCTTCTTCCGCAAGCCCCGCCTTGCTGCTAGTTAACCCTGGGCGGCCTTCGCCTGGTAGCGGCCAAGGAACCGGCTGCACGACCCTCCAGCCTCTGGCCGCTGCCCTAGGGGTCCAGAAGGCTTCGGGGAGTACGGCTTCTGCCCCGGGGGCCGCACGACCCTTGACCGAAGGTGTGGCGGGGACAGGATGCCCTGGAGCTTGTTCTGCCCTCGAGGGCGCAGCCGCTACTCTTCCTCGGGCGCTGTCTCGCCGGGTCCCTTAGGAGTTGCTGGAGAAAGGTTCACGGGTTAGGTGGGAGCGCCTTTGTGCAGAGGGGGAAACCGAGGCACGGAGGCTGAAGCCCAAGGTCACAGCAGGTCGCAGAGATCGGACAGGTTGAGGGAGGCGTGGATCCCGGGAGGGGAAGCCAGAACCCCCGTGGGCTCCGCTGAGTTTTGTGGCGCTGGCCCTGCCTGGTGAGCCCGGTGTGCAGAGCAGACTGCTCCGCGGGCTTCTGGGACGGGGACCTTTCAGAACGAAATCGCCGGCCTCTTCTTCCAAGGCATCTGTGGGTGACGGTGAACGGCAGCCTTCCGGTTAGCAGCGGAGCGTGGGCGGCCTTGGCACCGTTGGAAGGACACGGAAACGGTCCCTCTTGGTAGTTGTCAAAAAGTTTCCACTCCTGGTGACCCCGTGTGTGCAGGGTAGTCAAGGCTGTGACCTGTCAGAAAAGCAGATCGCCCGGCCTGTCTTCCAAAGCGCTACTATTGTTGTTAAGTGCCGTCCAGTTGGTTCCAACCCCCAGTCACCCTGTGTAGGGTTTCTGAGAAGCGGCTGGTGAGCTTGAACCGCTGATCTTTAGTGGGTGGCTTCGAACCACTCCCCCTTTTTGCCTGGTAGTTAAGTGTCTTCGTTTGCACCTGTCAGGGACTAGCCAGGCACAGGGAGCCAAGGGCAGAGCAGGTCCCTGCCCCCTGACACCTGTAGTCTGGTGGGGGAAATGGCTGTTACCTCCAAAAGCACAAACCTATGTGTGTGGCCCTGGGGGAGCAGTGAGCATGAGCTCAGCTCCCAGGCCAGGGAAGGGCCCCCGAGGGAGTGGAGTGTCTGGGTGCTGGTATGTGAGGTAGGGTTGGATAGAACTAGACCAGGAGCCTGTGCTGGGGGCTGGGTGCAGGTGCAGGGACTGAGCCAAACCAAGCCCGTCGCCATCACGTCAGTCTGACTCACAGGAGACCGATCACGGAGCTCCGTAGGGTTTTCTTGATGGTCATCTTTATGGCAGAAGATCACCTGCCCTTCTCCCACCATGCCACAAGGTGGGTTCAAACTGCCAGCTTTTAGCTTGGTAGCCAAACGGAAACAACTTGAGCCACTTCCACTAGACCTTAGAGGGAGTCTGAGAAAAGCTGCTTAAAGAAGAGGTTAGGGAAGCCTTCCAGATGTGGACTGCTGTCCTCCTTCAGGTCCACCAGCAGGAAAGGCAGTGGTCTGGTGCAGTTTGCATCTGGAGCAACCAAAACAGACCCAACAGTGTCAGCCATGTCTGAGGGCAGTCACTGAGAGGGACCGGGGGTGGGGGTGGGGGGTCAGGTCCTGAGGGGTAAGGAGGGGAGTTAGTGCAGATGGGAGCCAAGAAGTGACGTGACTGCCCTTCCCCTCCCTAGCACCTTTCTCCTAACTGGACTGCCTTAGGCTGCCCTCATTGGATGCCACCCAGAGTCAACAGCTTGTGGGCCCTACTCTGGGCTTCCTTGTGCAGACTATTCAGAAACAGGAAAGATAGGCATCCTAGGGCTGGGAGGAGAGAGGTGGCAGTGTACCTATGACTTTGTGTCCATGGCAGATGGTGTTTGACCAACACTAAGTGAACGACACCTGAAGCGGTTCATGATGTCACAGTTGTGCCCTGCTGACCAGAGCCTCCAGCTGCACAGGGGAGCAGCTGGGCCCTTTCCCTGGTTACTGGGTCTTGCTTGCTTATGCCATTAGCAGGTGTTGGCGTGAACACCTAACATGTGCCAAGCACAGGTTCCCTGTAGCTGTGGGGGCTGGGTAAGCTCAGCACCCCCTTCCCTACAGCACTTCCCTTGTCAGGTGCCTTCCCTCTGTCTGGCTTTTCTCATTGGTCAGGTGAGGCTGTTTCTGGAATGTTCTGGGAACTCGCTGAGTGATCTGCAAGGTGTGGCCCTACACCGGGCCCATCATCTTCATTAGTCCACTGTAGCCTGAGGTCCAGCAGCAAGACATTACTGTCCAGTCCGATCCAGGCAGCCACTAGGATTGCAAGGGCAGGGATGAGGCCTGAAGGGCCACAGTTGCTCAACTTTACCTTGGCTGCAGGAAGGGAGGTGGTTACGAAAGGCTTCCTGGAGGGCAGTGCCACGACTGGGTTTGAGAAGGTGACCAGGTGGCAGTCAGGTTGAAAAGGAGGCGGCCAAGAAGGTAAATGGGTGGGGACAGCCTCTAGGCCTGGAGAGCCATTGTCCTGGGTCATGCCCATGCTTGGAGGGCAGCACCAGGGGGAGAAAGGACAGGAACCTGACCACGGAAAGATTGTCACATGGAAGAGATGGGGGGCAGAGGGACACAGAGAAGGAGCCACCACCCTTAGAGACTGTCACGAAGAGGAGGGGAAGCCTGGAGGAGGAGTTTGACCCATCATGAAGATTTTAGGAAGCTGCTCTCAGTGCCCCCTCCCATGACTTCAGGCCTTGACAGTGGCCTCCTGACCAGTCGCTGTCCACCAGCACTCAGTGAAGGCTCCTGAAGCACTTCCTGCTGGCACAGCTTTGCTCTCCCTGCCAGAGCCTCCAGTCGCACAGGGAACAGCCAGGCCCCGGGCCTCTCTGCCCTTGTCTGCCAGCCTCTCGCAGCTCCTGACACCGCTGACTGCCTACTTCAATACGTGGCTGCCAGGCCTTGCTCTGTTGTCCTTGTGTCTCTCTCCCTGCTCCCGTTGGGCCCGCCTCATCTGCTTCCCCATGGAAGCTGGGATGACCCAGAGCTCTGTGTGCGCAGGTGTGCTTGTCAGTTCTGACTCCTGGTGGCCCCTTGCATCATGACAGAGGAGACTCTGTCAAAACGACTCCATAGGGTTTTCTTGGTAGATTACCAGGCCTGTCTTTCGTGGTGATGCTGCTGGGTGGGTTCAAACCACCAACATTTCAGTAAGTAGTTGAGTGCAAACCTTTGCACTGCCCAGGGACTGGAGTATGTGTGACTCTCACATGTGTCCCATTCACGCTCTTGTTTCTGGACCCATTGGGGGCCCCACGGCTACCGAAAACTCAACATTTCCCAGAAGGGACTCCTGTCATGTTCCCTCTGCATTGAATGGCATTGCCCAGCCCAAAACCCAGGCATTATTCTGGTTCCTTTACCTCCTCACCCACGCTTACCCACCATAGTACTGGGTCCGCCTACAGCCAGGTCCTGTCCCTGTGCTGGACCGTAGCCACTATGGCCAAAGGGAGTGTATGACTCCATTGACATGCATTACAGGGGGGCAAGGGGAGGAGCCTGCATTAGTATTCCAAGTTAGGATGCCCTGGTGGTGGCACTGGGGCAGTAGGCCTACCAAATGTAAAGGCCCTGGGGCAGAGACTGCCATGGAGTGCAGTGAACTGGGAGAGGAGAGGAGAGATAGAAAGGGCCTCCAGACATGGGACAAGGCCTGGGGTATGTTCTCAGCACAGGGGAGTCTGTGGTGGCATTATCAACCAACCTGACTTAGGCTTAACATGGGCCCTCTCAGTCTTTGTGGAGGAAGGACAGGCTGGTCCACGTTGGTGGCAGGAGTGGGACTGTCCCCTCCAGTCTGTCCTGTGTCACAGTCCACTTGGGGCCCTCAGCCCCCACTCTGTGGCTATCCTCAGTCCCTCCCATGGACCTCGTCTCCTCAGTGTGTCTGTCTCGGCATGCCTTGTTTCCAGGCCCTGCGTGGTTCACCCTACAGGGTCGCATGCCCTGTGTGTGACCCTCTGCACAGCTGTGCCCTGGGTGAACACACACATTGCTCCACCATCCTCTTGAGGACTGGTGCCTGAGCTCCTGCTGTGCCTGTGGCAGCCCTAGAGGAGGGACGGTGGGGTGTGGGTGGCCCAGGGACACCCCAGGAACAGGGCTTAGCAACAACGGCAGCCTAGCAGGGAGTAGGCAAGGACGTACCTTTGCTCACAGGGTGACCTTGACAGCCATCTCTCCACCTGTCCACCTGTGTGAGAATAACAGTCCTCCTCGTGAGGGCATTGGAAGAGGGTAAGGGGTACATGGAGCTCCTCAGCTGGGCCACCCCCACTAGGAGCTGGGTCCTTGAGCCACAGGCTAAGAAAGTGTGTGTAAGTGTGCATGCAAATGCATGAGTGTGCATGGGGACAGGCACTAGGATGGTGCTCATTCGAGTGTGCTCTCAGCTCACCCGCTCATCTTACACATTAAAGACTCCATCATGAATCCTATGTCCCTAGCAGGGACAGTCTGAGTGGGTCACCTCCAAGGTGGCACCCAGAGCCCCTTGCCAAGCTACAGGGTTGCCCTCTGGTACACAGAGCTACACCCCCCAAGTGTACCTGGTAGTTATCTCTACACCTTGCTTTTAAAGTCCCTTCTTGAGCTGTGACTTGCATATAACACTGAAGGCTTCTGAAGTTTACAGTTGCTGAGTGTGGTCCTGTGTGCCCACCAGTAAGTTATATGGCACATCCCACCTTTCCAGAGCTCCCCACACCCAGCTTTTCTACCCATCTCCAGGCAATAGTCTGTTTCTAGTCAGCTTTCTCAAATTTTATACAACAGATGCTACAAGATCCGAGCCTCACCCCTGTGGTCATTGTTAGGTATCCCCTTCTCTCCCCTGCTGGGGAGTGCTCCATAGTGTAGGAGGATACCTATCTCTCCAGTCACCTGTCAGGGGATATGTGTGTTGTTTGGAATTAAAGCAGCTTTGGACAAATACCCACATGATGGATGGACAGATCACTTTCTGAGAAACTGCCAGAATGTTTTCCTAAGTAGTGGTCTCACTGTCCATGGTGGAGGGGGTCTACAGGGGCTTGGCACCCTCACCCACGGACTATGAAAGAGCACCCAGGAGCCAGGACTCTGGGTGCAGAGGCTCTGACGTGGGCAGGAGGGATGGCATGTAGGTGCCCTGGGACAGGGTGTTAAGACGAGGAGTAACAGCACTGCCCTCTCTCCCGGCCCAGGTGCTCATCTGCCGGAACTACCGGGGTGACGTGGACATGTCGGAGGTGGAGCACTTCATGCCCATCCTGATGGAGAAGGAGGAAGAGGGCATGCTGTCGCCTATCCTGGCCCATGGCGGCGTCCGCTTCATGTGGATCAAGCACAACAACCTCTACTGTAGCCTTTGATGGAGGCCGCGTGGTTGTACTTTTCATTGTGAGTGTGGCCCTGGCATCCTGGAGACTCAGGCTTAGTAGACCTGCCCGTCAGGTCCATGTCAGGGAGCGCCTGGGAATTTGTTCGGAACCCGGGTCTTGCCGTGTACCTCTTTGCTTATCCATGGGGTGGGAGTAGTGCACAGGCCAGCAGGCCATCTGCAGCCACCCTGGCCCTGTGATGACTGCCCAGTTGTGGTCTGAGCTCAGCGGGACTGGGTGGACTGGTTCTTGGTCCAGCTCCAACATCCTCATGTGGGTGCTGGGAGAATGCAAGGGCTCCTGCTGGTGACCCTGCCCAGCATGCCCTGCATGAGCAGCATCATTTCCCACCTAGACTGCCACGCAACAGTACTGGTTGTATTGGTGGTGAGGAGAGCGGTTTTCCAGCAGGTCCCCAGCCAGGCAGCTGTCACCCCCAGAACTGGAGCCGGAGGGGGCAGCCTCTGCCCCTCTGCCTTGGCCTACACCCGAGCCAGGCCGTGAAGGTGGCTCCCAGAGCTCACAGCTTGGTAGGGAGACCTGGGCAGCGTGTGAATGGCAGTGAAGTCAGGGCTCCTGCACTGGAGAAAGCCAGAGACCCAGGCCCATAGAACGACATGTACATACAGGGAGCAGAACAGCCCTGGCACTTTACAGCCTGGCCCAGTGAGCAGGTGGAAGATGATTGTGAAGTGCCATCAGGTCGATTCTGACTCAGCAACCCTTTATAGAGGGCTTCCTGGGAGTGGCTGGTGAGTTTGACCACTGACTTGTGTTAATAGTCCAGTACTTACCCTACAGTGTCACATCAGGATTTCTAATGGACAGTTGTTGTTAAGTGCCATCAAGTCGGTTCCCACTCTTAGCGACCCTGTGTAAGGAAGGTTTCCCAGGAGCAGTTGGTTTGAACCTCCAACTTTGAGATTCAAACCAACTTTGCAGTTCAGTGCATTATCCTGTAGAACCACACCTAGTGGAAGATGTTGTTAAATGCTGTGTAGTCAATTCCAACTCATAGTGACCCTGTATAGGATTTCCAAGGAGCAGTTGGTGAGTTTGAACTAACGATTTTGTGATTCTCAGTCCAGTGCTGATCCTACAGACAGCGCGGCACCAGGAAGATAGAGCTGGTTAAAGAGGGAGCTACCCTCAGGCCAGGCCAGGCTAGGGTGGCCCTGTTCCCACCCCGGGGCCTTGCCTCCACTCTTCCCTCTACCCCTTCTGGCCCCCAACCCTGTCCCCTCACCATTGGCTTCCAGACTTGGCTCTTTTCACCTGTTAAGCATCCTCCCTGTCACAGTGCCCAGGGCAGGCTGAGTCTTTTGGCGTCTCGGTGGGCCTTGTATGTCAGCTGCAGCTGGGCATGATGTGAACTCTGTGCTCAGGAGCTCTGGCCATGGGACTGGTGGTCGCTCATGTGGAATTCTCACCTTCCATGAGGGAGACCTGGGTACAGTTCCCTGTCAGTGTACCTCGTCCAGAGCCACCGCCTGTTTATTGGTGCAGGCGGACAGGTTTCAGTGATGCTTCCAGACTCAGACAGATTAGGAAGGAAGGCCTTCCATAAAATAGCCCATAAACCCTATGGAGCACAGTGGTCTAACCCTGTGGCCCAGGGTCCGGTGTGTTTGGTTCTCTTGTGCATAGTGGCTAACAGCAGCAGCAGGCCTGGTCTGAGGGAATATGGTGTGGGGATGATGGGGGACTCAGCCTGTGGGGCACTGGCCACTCCCAGATGCCCAGGAACCAGAATTGGCTTCTGGAAGCTCCTTAACCTGCTGTGCAGTGGTTGCTACCTCCAAGAAGAACGCGTGCGTGTCGCTGGTGTTCTCCTTCCTCTACAAGGTGGTGCAGGTAAGCTAGAGGGCGGGGAGGATGCCCTGGACAGGAGGAGGGGCACCCTCCGAGATTGCACAGGTCTGGCTTGGTGGCCCCTCACCCCAGTGGCCCATTCTGGAGATTCACTCAGAAGGAGTCTGAGAGTGCAGTGGGGGAGGGGTGCTCTGGCGTAGTCAGGAACCAGCCATGAGGCCAGTGGGCCTGGGACAGGGAGCCTGGCCAGAGCTCAGCCCACTGGAGCGAGGAGAGTCCCGTGAGGCCTGAGCTGACCTTCTTCAGAGTCTGAGGAGAAGCTGTTGCATTTTGGCAGGACCACAACGTAGCCTGCCTTGGGTAAAATGGCCTCTCTGACGGCAGCAGGGAGACCACTGAGGAGGCTGTGAGGTCCTGCAGTGCTTGGAGCTGGAGGAGACTAGGGCCCAGGGGCTGGAGTGGGCCTTTCATACTTGGGTGCTATCCCCTGCAGCCAGCTTGGCTGCAAAACCATTGGGAGCAGGGCTTGAGGGTGGCGGTGTAGGGGAGGCGAGCAGCAAACATCCAGGAAAGGCCCACCTATGGCAGTGGAGTTGGAACCTGTGTCCATTTCCTAATCTTCCAAACTGTGTCTTGGACTCTGAGCCAGGGTCATCCCCACATACTGCTGTGCAGACTGGCAGCTCGCAGGGCTGGGAGAGGCTGAGACAACCTCCCGTCCAGTCCCCAGTAGCTCTCAACCCCTCCTGTGTCGCCCTGGACTCAGGTGAAGGTTAACAGTGACAGTCAGACTGAAAGAGAGAGAGACTTGTAGAGGGAGTGGAGGCCTGCCTGCCTGCCTACCTCCCAGGCTCCTGTCTTCCCATCCCTCCCTGAACCCACATCCCAGGACAGGGGATGGGCAGTCAGCTTGGGCCCTGAGGGGCAGAGGAGTTTGTGCATGCATTCGTTCATATATTCATTTTATCCTCTCCCTTGTCCACCCCCTCTCCACCCACCTAGGTGTTCTCGGAGTACTTTAAGGAGCTGGAGGAGGAGAGCATCCGTGACAACTTTGTCATCATCTATGAGCTGTTGGATGAGCTCATGGACTTCGGCTACCCACAGACCACAGACAGCAAGATCCTGCAGGAGTGAGTGAGGGGGGCTGGGGACTGAATCAGGTGCACTCACTCGCCAGTCCCCCATCCACACTGAGCTCATTTCAGGCCATCCCATACCTTTGTTTGACCATCACAAATTAGGCTGTGACAAATGTCTTCTGTATTTGGAATTCTTCTCTTCAGACAACAGCAATGATTAAGCTCCAACCATGAACAGGCACCGGGCTGAGCACTTTCCCTCCATTTCATTCAGCCTCATTTTACAGGGAGCCATGCCCTTAACTGACCAAACGAGCAATGGTCATCAGGTCGTTTCCTAAGGGTCAGGCCCCACACACCATGTGGGGACATCTCTTTTGGTCCCACAAAGTGACTGCTTTGGGTTCCTTGTCACTTGAGTGTGTGTGTTTGTGGTCAGTCGTAATATGTATATGTGGAAGCATGGCGGCTCCATAGGATAAGCACTGGACTGCGAACCACAGCGTCCAAAGTTCAAGCCCAGCAGCTGCTCTAGGGGAGAAAGATGAGGCTTTCTGCTCCTGTGAAAATCTTTCAAAGCCTTGAAAACCCTATACAGGGTTGCTGTGAGTGGAAAGCAATTTGACGGCACTTAACAACAACAACATAATGTTTGGTGAAAACATGCTCACCAAAACATTCGCCAGTAAAACTGCTTCCACACTTCGAACTCAGTGACACTGATGACATTTTTCATGTTGTGCCACCATTCTTGCTGTCCATTCCCCCAGTATCCCACCATCATTAACATAAACTCACTGCCCCCCAAATAGTCCTTTATAAGCAGCAGGGGAGCCAGGCCTTGCCTTCCACCACTTGATGCCCCCTTTCCCACTCTGACCCCTGCCCAAACGTTAGTACCCAGGGTGGGGGTTGTTGTGTGTTGACCCCGCTGTAACTTTGAGCTTCTTCCAAAGATACATCACTCAGGAGGGCCACAAGCTGGAGACGGGGGCCCCCCGGCCCCCCGCCACTGTCACTAACGCTGTGTCCTGGCGGTCCGAGGGCATCAAGTACCGGAAAAACGAGGTGTTCTTGGATGTCATCGAGTCAGTCAACCTCTTGGTAGGCTTCTTTTTATTTTTGGTTAAATTTGTCTCCATGACAGAAATAAAAACCACCAGACTTTTAAAACTAGCGAAGCCCTGAGAAATGCATAGGTTCCACATGAGGAGCAGAGGGCAGACTTGAGTTCAGACTTCTTACTGGAATGTGAGCTTCTTTTATCTTTGTGCGCTTTAGTCCCTGGGTGATACAGCTTGTTTGCCCTTGACTACTAACTTAAAAGGTGGGCGGTTTGAACCCACCCAGCTGTACCACTGAAGAGAGGCCTGACGATTTGCTTCCAGTGAAGAATATCAGTTCTACTCTGAAACACGGGGTCACCGTGAGTGGGAATTGAATTGCCCCCATGGCAGCTAGCAACAGCAACAGCTTTTGTTCTCAGATAGAATTAATGCACGTGTGGTATTTAAAATAAAGAGCAGTGTGTAAGCAGAGTGGAGGGTTCCCTGTGTAAGCAGAGTGGAGGGTTCCCACAGTCAGAAGCACCACTGATTTAAAACTCTAATGTCATCCTTTGAAACCGCATTCTGTAGAGAATATAAACATGCTTCTCTATTAAGCAAACCATAGTATGTAGTTCTCCTACAACTGTTTTTTTTTGTTTATTATTGTTTTGTGTATGGTTGATTATTTTTTCCCTTTAATTTTATTTTCCAAATTACCATGTTGTGAATTGTAGTACATGCAATACCCTCAACCTCCCTCCCTCCCCCTCCAACCCTGATCAGGGTACAGAACATTTGTCATCCTGCAAACTCCCTTGTGCTGCCCCCTTGTGGTCACACCTCCACCAGCCTGTCCCTGTCACTCCTCACTCCAGTTTTGTCACTCTGCAGTTGTCGTCTTAAGGGAATCACATAGCATGTCACGGTTTGAGCCGGGCTTCTGTCTCTCCGCACTATGCCTTTGAGATTCCCCCAAGTGATTATTATGTGTGTTCAGTTTGTTTCTTGTTATATTGATTTACGTTTATTTTATATTCCATGGTATGGATGCACCAGTTTGTTTGCCCATTCTCCCATTGAAGGACATTTGGGGTCTTTCCCATTTTTTTTTGTTTCTTGGGGGGTTTTGGCAATTATAAATAAAGTTGCTATAAGCATTCTGTGTCCAGGTTTTTGTGTGGACATAAGTTTTCATTTCTCTAGGGTAAATACCCAGGAGTGGGATTGCTGGGTCATACGGTAAGTCTATGTTTAACTTTATAAGAAACTGCCAAACCCTTTTCCAGAGTGGCTGCACCATTTTGCACTCCCACTAGTAACAGGCGTGTTTGGGTTGCCCTGCATCCTTGTCAGCACTTGGTATCGTCTGTATTTTTACTTTTGCCGTATCTACCCATAGTTCTCATTTGCATTTCCCTAATAGATAATGATGTTGGTCCTCTTTTCTTTTTTCTTTTTTTTTTTTTGCTAGCTCAGATAATGGCTTTATAAAAAATAAAAACTTTCTCTCTCTGATTACAGTACTAGAATTCTATCTTAACCATTGGAAGTTGATACACATATTTCTCTCACAACCAAATCCTACAATTAAAAACAAAAGTAGAAAAAAAATCAACAACAACAACAAAAAATGAACTCAAGTGACAAATTTCCCGAAATAACAAGTAATAGAGTCAGCAATAATTACGTCTATTATCGTCACAGCATAGTTGCTGGGTCACTAATATTGCCAATACCAACAATTTTTTTGTGTGTGACACTTAATTTCCTGGTACTACACTAAAGAATATCTTTTATGTCCAGGAGCATCTACAGAAATAGGTTTTGAATTCAACATTATGTTCTTAGTACCATGCTAGAAGCTGCCATTCTTTTTTTTATTATTATTCTTTTTTTTATTTTTTGTGAATTATGTGATAGTTTACATTGGAGAACATTAGTTTTACATTCATTCTATCGTATATGGTCTCTCATTGCCATGGTTGTTGGTCCTCTTTTCATGAGCCGATTAGCCATCCATACAACCGCCTTGGGGAAGTGTGTTTCTCCATCTCTAATGAACATTTTAAGTTGGATGGCTGGTTTTCTTATTGCTGAGTTTTGAAAGTTCTTTGTACACTTTGGATATAAGTCTTTTGTCAGATCCGGTGATTTGTAAATACTTGCTCCCAGTCTGTAGCTCATCATTTTATTCTCTTATATGTGGCTTTTACAGAACAAACATTTTTAATTTTAATGAAGTCAGATACCAACCTTTCATGGCCTGTGTTTTTGGTATCATATCTAAGAACTCATTTCCAAACCCAAGGTCGCTTAGATTTTCTCCTAAAAACTTTATAGTTTCACATTTCACATTTAGATTTGCGATCCAAAATAAAATATGAGGTTTTGCCCCCCAGATTTTTTTCTTTCATCTGGATGTCTAGTTGTTCCAGGATCATTTGATGAGAATACTGTCCTTTTTCCAGTGAGCTGCACCTTTGTCTGAAGTCAGTTGGACGTATTTCTGTGTGGCCATTTCTGGACTCTGTTCTGCCCCATTGATCTGTATATCCCTTCATCAGTACCATACTGCCTTGATAACTATAACTTTATAGTACTTTTGAAAATCAGTTAGTATGATTCCTCCAACTTTATTCCTTTTATGAAAATTGTTTTAGCTCTTCTAGCTCCTTTGTTTTGCTGCCTGCATTTTTTAATCAGCTTATCTATAGCTACAAAAAAATTCTGCTGTTGATTGATGATGTATTAAATGTATGGATCAATTTGGGAAGAACTGATACCTTTATTATAACAAGTCCTCTCATCCATGCACGTGGTGTATATATGTGTGTATAAATATATATATATCGCTATGGAGCTCTGGTAGCGTAGTGGTTACGAATCGGGCTGCAAACCTTAAGGTCAGCGGTTCAAAACTACCAGCTGCTTCGCGGGAGAAAGATCAGGCTTTCTACTCCCGTAAAGATTTACACCCTCGGAAACCCTGTACAGGGTCGCTATGGGTCGGAACTGACTCGACGGCACTTAACAACAACAATATACTTAAGGGTTTTTTTTCCTTCATTAGCTGTTTTGTAGTTTTTACCATGTACTTGTTTCTTCGATTTATACTTGAATATTCCAGTTTCTTGAAGATATTTATTAAAAATTGTCAGTTTTTGGGTTTCAGATTCTAACGGGGCATTACTAGCGTACAGAAGTATGACTGATATTTTTGTGTTGTCCTGGTATCGTTTGACCTTGTTAAACTCACTCATTCTAGAAGTTTGCTTTGTTTTCTTGTGGATTATTTAAGATTGTCTATATAGGAGTCCTAGTGTGGCGCTGTGGGTTAATGCACCAGACTGCAAAGCCGTTTGAACTGCAAGGTCAGTGGTTCAAGCTCACCAGCTGCTCCTTGGAAACCCTATACAGGGTCACTATGGGTCGAAATTGACGCGACGGCACTTGACAACAACCACATACAGATGTGTTGACTGTGAGAGTAGTTTTACTTCTTCTTTTCAAATATGTATGCCTTTTTTTTAGTACTGCTTTAGCAGAAATACTACAAATAGTTGGTTTTAAAGAACAGAAACGTATTGTCTTACAGTTCAGGAGACTGGAAATCCGAATTCAGGGGAAGTGTTCTTTCGCGCGTCTCTGGAGAAAGGTCTCTTTCGGTCTGTGTAGAGCTGGCATTTCTCAGTCTCAGGCGACCTCCATGTGGCATGGATCATCCCCTCTGCTTGTGCCTATTTCTCTCTACCTCAGCTCTGGTAGCATAGTGGTTATGAATCGGGCTGCGAACCGCAAGGTCAGGAGTTTGAAACTACCAGCTGTTCCGCGGGAGAAAGATGAGGCTTTCTGTTCCTGTAAAGATTTACAGCCTCGGAAACCCTGTACAGGATTGCTGTGAGTCAATTCTGACTCCACGGCACATAACCACCAATCTTCCCTTAGGAGCTCTGGTGGTGTAGTGGTTATGAATCGGGCTGCTAACCTCAAGGTCTGCAGTTCAAAACTACCAGCTGTACCACAGGAGAAAGATTAGGCTTTCTGCTCCCATAAAGATTTGCAGCCTCAGAAACCCTGTGCAGGGTCACTATGAGTCGATACCGACTCCACGGTACCTAACAACCACAACAACAGGCTTCCTTATGAGTATTGATGTGGCACTGTGAGTTAATGTGCTGGACTGCAAAATCGTTTTGAACCTCAAGGTCAGTGGTTCTAGCTCACCAGTCGCTCTTTGGAAACCCTGTACAGGGTCGCTATGGGTCGAAACCGACTCGACAGCACTTAACAACAACCTTCCCTTAAGGAACTCTGTAGCATAGTAGTTATGAATCAGGCTACTAACCTCAAGGTCAGCAGTTCGAAACTACCAGCTGTTCTGTGGGTAAAAGATGAGGCTTTCTGCTCCCGTAAAGATTTACAGCCTCAGAAACCTGTACAGGGTCGTTACGAGTCAGAAATGACTCCACGGCACATCACCACCACCACCAATCTTCCCTTTTCATTTCTCAGAGGAGATGAGGTTTAGGACACAACCCTGCATGGGTATGGCCTCATGAACATAGCAAAGTAAACCCTGTTCCCAATAGGATCATATCCATAGGGGTAGGGGTTATGATTCCAACACATAGGAGGATTTGGGGGGCACACCCTCAATCCACAACACTTACTGGCCTCCCTAAGACTTCCAGTACAATGTTGACTACAAGTGTGAGAGGGGAACATTTTTGCCTTGTTCTAGATCTTAGAGAGAAAACATTCAGTCTTCCACCCCTGTTTGCTATAGCTTTATTGTGGATGCCCTTTTTCAGGTTGAGAAAGCTCCCTTTGAATATTAATTTGCTACAAGTTTTTGTCATGAATGGGTGTTCTATTTTGCTTTTTCTGCATCAGTTGATATGATCATCTGGCTCTTTTCCTTTAGCTTGTTAATGTGGTGGAGTAACTATTGAGCCAGCCTTGCAATTCTAGAATAGCCCCAAGTAGGGTTCTGATATTGTGTATTATTGTTTACATAAGGAGTCCTGGTGGCACTGTGGTTTAGGTGTTGGACTGCTAACTGCAAGGTCAGTGGTTCAAATTCACCAGCAGCTCCCTGGGAGAGAAGCTGAAGTGGTCTGCTCCCATAAAGGTTTGCAGTCTTGGAAACCAGAGAGTCTCTATGAATCGGAATTGACTCAGTGGCACTGGGTTTGTTGTTTTCTCTTTTTTTGTTATTATTTACGTATTATTGGTGGAAGAAAGGAAGAGACGTTCTTCTCCTGCAGAGATTTACGGCCTTGGAAACGCTATGCGTCAGAACCAACTCAACCTATTAATATATTCCATTTGTTAGTAATTTGTTAGAGGTTTGGGGTCTACATTCATACAAGATTTTGGTCTTTAGTTCTCTTTTCTTATAATGCTTTTTTTGGTTTGGGCATAGGGTAATGCTCTCATAAAATGAGTTGGGAAGTGTCCCTTCCTCTCTTTTCTGGAAGAGATTGTGTAGAAACATTTGGTGTAGAACTCACTAGTTGAAACTATCTGAACCTAGAGATTTATTTTTGGGAGGTTGATAGCTATGAATTATTCCGTTCATTTAATCTTGGGCGAGTTTGGGTAGTTGATTGTTTTCAACGGTTGGTCCATTTCATCGAAGTTGTCAAGCTTCCATGCAGAGTATTGCTTGTAGTATTGTCCAGTTGTCTGTTAGTGTCTTGCAGTTCTGTGCCCTCTCATGCCTGGGATTGGCTGTTTCTGTCTTCTCTCTATTTTCTTTATCAATCTTGCTAGAGATTTCTCAGCGGTGTTCATCTTTACACAGAGTACTGGTATGGCACTGTAGGGTAATGCGCTAGACAGGAAGCTGGTTTGAGCCGCAAAGTAGGCGGTTCAAACACATCAGCCACTCCTTGGAAACCCTATACAAGGTCGCTATGGGTGGGAACCCACTTGACAGGACTTCATAACAACAATCTTTACAAAGAATCAGCTTTTTTATTTCATTGATTTTTCTCTTTTTTTCAATTTTATCAGTTTCTACTCTTAAGCTTAGTTATTTCCTTTCTTCTTCTTCTGGAACCCTGGTGTCACAGTGGTTTAAGTACTAAGCTGCTAACTGAAAGGTTGGTAGTTTGAATCCACCAGCTGCTCAGCAGGAGAAAGATGAGGCAGAGCTTCCATGCAGGTATACAGCCTGGCCAACCCTGTAAGGAGTCCACGCTGTCATACAGGCTTGCTGTGACTCAGAATCGACT